AAGCAGAATGTCATAGAGATGCCGTTAAGAATTTTATTTTATTTTATTTTTGGTTGATATTCATGTTCTGCCATAGCCATAAATCAACCTTTGAATTGTTGTTGTGATTTGTTGATTCCCCGATTATGAATTATGTGTTCTAATGTTGAATAGGAATGCTGAAATTTAGTTAACCTTAGGAACTTTGGGAATTAATAAATTTGTTTTGTTCAGAAATTGTGCTATTTGTTATACAATTGTTATATTACTGTTTGATGATCTTGGAATCATATTAAGAAAAAGAGAAATAAAACGGTGCACAATAGGTTTGTTTAGTTTCTCAAATTGAAGTGCCTGCTATTTGCCAAGTCGCAAAATAGGTATACATCTACTGGAATTAAATTAAGCTGGTACTTCATGTTTTTCTAACAGCTAGAAAAGTTGTCCAGTATCTCATTTGTTAAGTATCTTTAGTATTTAGATTATAATTCATATAGGAGATCTCGGTTTTAATAAGTAAAATTTGTCAATGGTTTATAAAAAAGTTTGGATATATATATATATATATTTTTTACTCTTTGTTAATTAATTTTTTATCTTCTTCTATTGAATATGTTTTTGTCTAACAATTGAATTATCCCAAAATTAAAGTATGTGGTAACTGTATTTATACAGAAATTGTGCAGTGCTTAATACCTTTTCCATACTTAATCGATCCTCCAATCTTAATCAATATCTATGTAAACTTGCTGTTCAAAAACATATATATATATATATATATATATATGTAAATTTTGGTGATCTATTCTACCTTATTTGAATAAATGACAATTCCATCCATTTCGGCACATCAATGGTGTTTTATTAAAACAACATAATTTTAAATTAATTTTCTTCTTAATTTTTATGAAGTAAGATGGATAAACCCTAACCATTTATTTATATATATATAGATGAACAGACAAAATTAAAAAACAAAGACAAGGGCAGCGGATGCCATTGCAATAGAAAATAGAGGCAAAAAAAAAAAAAAACCTCAAACTAGGAGGATTATGATGGTAATAGTTAAAGAAAAGGTTATACTTTTTAGCTTTTCATTATTGGTTACTAACGTCCTTGGTTCTATAAAATACATGTTCTCTTTTTAACTTTGCTTCCTTTGCTTTTAATTATTATTTTTGAGATAAAAATGTATTAATTCCAGATTGTTATGGTTATTCGTCATTGTCCCCACTACTCCCTACTACCATTTTACCAGTGAAAAGAGGCTGACTTTGTTGATTGTTCAATAGCAGAATCTGTTGAAAATCTAATGGTTGATACTCAAAAACTGGGAGGAACTACAGTACTTGTTGATGGGGCAACGTCCAAGGTGTGGTGCAAAATTGTGAATGCATTCTGTTTTTGAATTTTTTTATTCTTTTCAAAAATTTGTTCAAATATATATTTAAAAACTCATTTTTAATTAATATTTTAGAAAATCAACCATTGAATTAAAAGTTTTTCATATAGATCATAAATGTTAATTTTTAGATTGTTATATTAAGTCTAATCACTTCTTTGATTATAGGAAATTAAATACTGTTAAATACATATCAATAAATAGAGTTCTTTAGATAAAAGTGTTATTAAATGTTATATCAATATAAAAATTGACATGCATAATCTATATGAATAAAAATTTCAATCCAACGATCAATTTTAAAAAATATTAATTAGAATATGAGATTTTAAACAGATTTTTCAAAAAAAAATTGGAAGAGTTCGACTTGTTCAACACCGTCCTCATATATATATATATATATATATATACACACCCGTGCGCGAATGTAATGATGGAAGAAATGTATGCAAGGAATTATTAGGAAATGGGATATTAGAGGGATATATGTAGAGGTATGGGATGCAAACAAGTAATGAAAGTATAAAATAATGTGAAAAAATGTTAGTTGATTAAGAAAGAGATATGATGAGAGATAAAAGCATTAAGCTAAGTTTGAATAAAAATACATAACAATAATAAAAGGACAACATGATACTATAGAAAATTAAAGAATTGAAGGCGCTTTATAGAAAGAATATAAAGAGATATTGTTTTTATGTAAGAAATTGAAGAAAACATAGTATGTGAACAGATAGGGAGATATAGGAGGCAAGGAGAAGGAATTAAGGGAGAGGAAAAATAACATCAAACAATGTATTAATATAAATAAAAAAAAAAGAAAAAAATGATTGAAAAAGTTTCAATATTTTAAATTTATCCAGGCTAGATATATATTAATTCGATTAAATTCATATGCTTAAATCATTTTCATACTATTCATACATTTTTTTAAAGTTAATATATTTAAAATTATTAATTATTAAGAATAATATTTTAAAATATATTTGTAATTAATTAATATTTAAAAATTATTATTAATAAAATTTTTTAAAAAAATGCAGAGGCACCGCGCAATGCACGCATTGAGGTCTATTTCTAATCTAAAAGAGTCGAAGTTATGGTTAAAATTGTAATTTCAAAATTTTCAATTTAATATATAATTGAAATTACTAATTTACTTTCTAAGGTTAGGGGAATGGGTCCCCTGAATTCCAAATAGGATTAAAAACGTCACTTCATTTGTTCAACTAAGTTAAGGGTCCACCTAGTGTTCAAAAAAAGTTAAGGGTCCACCTATGATTGACAAGTCATTAAAATATAAAAAAAAACAATTTTAAATGGAGTTAAAAGTCATGACCTCTGTCTTATAGTAATTGTTATTTTTTAATTTTGTTTTTAAATTAAGAATTTAAGAATTATTTGTATATTTATTTATATTATTTTTAAAAAATTTAAAGATAAAATAAGACTTTTTATGATAAAATAATTAATCAAAATACATAAATAATGATAGAATTAAAATAGAAAAAATATTTATCTATATTAAAAAATTAAAAATAATAATTAATTTAAAACCAATTCAAAATAAAAAACAACAATTATTTTGAAACAGAGGCAAACTTAATGAAAAGATGGAAAAAAGTATAATTTGTAGGGTTGACGGACTACAAAGTGCTAAAAATAGTTTAGAAACCAAAAGTATTCAAATGTTAAAGTTCAGGGACTTAAATTTAGCATTTAACCCAAAAAAACATATATTTGCTTTGTTTCTTAAAAATAAAAAATCAGAATGAAAATATAGCGTTGAAAAATATAAAAAGAAGCTAATTGAGTGGATTAACATGGATGGCGATAACAGTTTCTGTGCTTTTTGTAGGAAAGCTGTGGAAGATGCATTTCATGTTTTTGTGCAGTGCTCGTTTACTTATAACGTCTGGATGAAGATCTTAGCTTGGTGGGGCATTCATACAGCAGTTTGTGGTAGCGTGAATGAGGCTATTTGGCAACTTACTCAAGGGTGGCATTATGACAAAATGCAAGCTATGTGGTCCTTTTTGTTTATCTTAGTCACGGAGCGTCTTTGGGGGCTGAGAAATAAAGTGATCTTTAATAAGGTGGAGATAGATGTTGATAGATTAGTGGAGGTAATTCAAACTAAATCCTTTTTTGGATAAAGGATAGAACTGGTGGATGTGGGCTCTCATTGTATGATTGGGATTAACTATCTGGATTTGTGTTTTAGAGTAATAAATGTTTAAATTGTAATAATAAAATGTGATGTAAATGGGTAAGAATATTGTTTGTATTCTAACATAATAAAATTTTCTTTTGACAATAAAAAAAAAAAAAAATTGAGTGTATGTTATTGCTTACCACACAATATAACAAATTTCTTCAGTGGATTTCGAACCCTGACTGCAATGAAAGAATTATACTCATGATTAAAAATGCAGGTTTGTAACTACAATAATTAATCACTTTTCCATAATCTTTAGCCTAAAAGATTGACTCTAAGTCAACATATACATAGGAACAACTAAAAAAGAATTTAATCCAAATTATAGAACGAACGCAGGAATAAATCATTTGTATACTTTCTATGTCGATTAAAAAAGAACATATATTTGGTTTATTATTTCTACAAATAAGAAGCAAGATATATAGCACAAAAAAGAAGGGAAAAAGAAAAAAAAATCATTTTGCATAGAGTACATTTGCAATGAATGAGTAAAGATTCAAAATAAGTAATTTATAAGTTTTATATATAGATTTTTCTTTTGTCGCCCTTCAAATCAAGATTTATTTGGACTAAATAAGTTTCAGATATAGATGCAAATAAGCACTTGCGGCGCTAGTTGCGCTGACAATGTGCATCATAGACCTTGGCAGCTTAGACTCCCCACTTTGTATGAACAATTCCCACATCCCTAATTTCCAATTGCCTTTATCTTATAACATATGAAAAAAAAAGGGGACTTTTACCAAATTATAAACAAAAGCAAGAAAACCAATAGCAAGCTTGTGCTAGTCATCTACCCAGCAAATTCTACAAAGTCATTAAGAAAATTCCAAATACTAAAAGAAGATATACCTCCGCAGAGTGCGCTTAAAAACATTTCGCACCAGATGAAGATACACGGCAATCCACATAACCAAATTAATAAGCCTGCGATCGTCTCTTTACATGAAAAAAAAGAGTCTTGGATCTTCTGTACGCATGATCGACGCTCATCTTCTTTGATGGAGTATGCCTTCACCCTTATGCCTTGAATTTCAATTTCAATCAATAAAGAGAGCATTTATTAGACTATATCAATCAAGAAGAACAAACTGAAAAAGCAAAAAATGAAAAGAAAAAACCCAAATAGGGTAATGAGAGCTGCGAGGAATCTAAGATTAAATTTGTTTTTAGCCAAATAATTATTAAATATATTATAAGAAAATTATAATTTCAAAAATTAAGGAGAAAAAAAAAGCATTACTGACATTCATATATCCATTGTTCCCAAAATGGAAGATTACTTCCTCTATAGAATGGGGGTGGTGTTTGAGCCAGTGTTAAAATGAGTGGAATGGAATCCGAAGAACAACTGTGAGATGCCAACTTTGGAAAATGATGGAGTAGATCGAATGCAATATCTAATATCAAAGTTTGTTAGAAAAAGTAAAACAACAAAAATTATATATATATATATTATATACTAGCAAGGAGAAGAAGAATTAATTAATGTTAAGAGTTCTTACCAAACATTTTCCTAATTATACATTCTTGGAGGATGTAGAAGCCACAGTCTCCATTTAGAGAGTCTAGTGGAGTCGCAACGTACAGGTAGCGTGCTATGTCCTCATGAATTGTGCTGCAGGCCAATTGAACTGGGATCTTTCCATCGTAGTCTGGAATGGTGAGCAAATTACTGTTCTTTCCAACTAATTTTTGTGCAATCGGTTTCCCAGCTCCGAAACGAGCAGCAATGGAAAGAGCTGTGTTCCCAAAATCATCTTTTTGTTTTTGCAACTCTCCTTTTGACAATATGGAATCATCGATCAAGTAATCAACAATTCTTTCCTTCCTATTATAAACTGCAAAATGAAGAGCTGTGTACCCATTTTCAGATATTCTTGCAGATTTTTTATCCGGATTCTCTGCAAAGAACTTCTGTACTTTCCAAAGCTCCCCCTTGGAAATGGCATTAGTTAATGTCTCATATTGAGACCTTCCAGGATTTCCAAATGTTTGTGCGGTAGAAGTGACTGAATGTTCAATAAAAACAAAACTCTCATTAGCAATTCTTCTCTGTATAAAGATTAATATATAGAGAAAATTTTTTAAACATCAAATTTGAGCCAATACCTTAAAAAACTCAAATCGTACAGCAGTCTCTCCAATAACGGATGCGGAAAAAGGAAAAAGAAAAAAAGAAACCAAAACAAATAGGATGGAAGAGAATAATACCTGTTCGCCTTTCTAGGGGGTGCTCAGCAATTTCCTCAGAGACAACTGGGGGTTTGTGCATATTAGCCAATGCATCCCAAACATCTTTAGCAGAATCCATCCCCTTTATCTGATAAAAAATTTCTTCTCCACATGAAAACTTAAGGACATGCAGAGCTAAAGCATTCTTTTTAATCCACTGATCCCTCATATTTCCTTCTGCAGGCAACTGGCTTGATTCAACAACATCCCAAAGACCTTGACCCATTAAATAGTGTCGCATTAAAATGCTCCACCTTTCATAGTTATCTCTTGTAAGAACTTCACCTACAACTACACTTGCATGTGTAGCAACTATTTCCATCTTTGGGCCTATGAAATATTGAAGTAATTTAAAAGATGAGGATCAATTTAAAATGAATTATGAATGCAAGAACCAAATTGAAAGAATTGAAAATGCATGGACCAGATTTTAACAAACTGACACCTTGAGGACCGACTTTTTGATTAAGTTAAAAACTTAATGGACTCGAGCGCATAAAATTGAAACTGTGTGATCAGGTTGGACTTTCTTTTGAAAAATTTGATGGTTAACCAATTTAAAATGAATTATTTAATTGGTTGATTATGATTAATCAAGAGAGAATTAGGTATTCAATCCCAAATGATGATAATTAATAAAAATTAATTAATGATGATTAATATCTTTAATTAAATTTCAATAAATTTGTCTAACTTGTAACTTTAAATGTACAATAAATATACTTTTTATAATTAATTTACATTAAAAATTAATTATATTAATCGGCATTTATTATATTAATGATTTTAATTAATTAATTAATCAAAATAAAATTTTACACTCAAATTAAATATTATATTAGTTATATCATTAACTTATGTCCTAACACACAGAAAATGTGAATTTCAATTAGATTAATAAAAAATTTTAATTAATGCTAATTGAACCAATTCAAGTAATAAATTAAATTTAATTGAAATTAATTAACAATAATTAACATAATCCAATTAAGTTAATTAATACATTAAGAGTACCTTTTCATAAATAGGTATAAAAAATATAAAAATTAATAGGAGTTTCATTAAATAATTAATAAATTAAAGATCAATCATTATTTTTAATA